ATTATAGGCAATGTTATGCATCAACCATTCTGTATGTGCTAGGTGTTTGGTTTCGCCTGTTTGCTTGGCATCCGGTTCCAGTTATGTGCAAACTGGTTTCAATTGTTTGCTTGGCATTTGGTTTGAATTGTTGGCTTGGCCCCACGTTTCAGTTGTGTTCTTGCATGTGGTTTTAGTTGTGTTCTTTCTTTTGGTTTCAGTTTTGTTCCAACTTGTCTGAATTTCTAGTTTGGTATGCATATTTTGTGTTATGATGATGAGCTACTTTTAAGATATGCAGCCAAAGTTTATAGCAGTAATATATTGGCGAAGCAATATATTGTATCCAACATTGCTATTATAAACTTCATGGCGAGGCAAATAATGAAAAAAAGCCTTTTCTGAGCACATTTTCTCTAATTACTATAGCAGAGGGTTTTCTTTGCCTTTTCTGGTTGTTAGCTTACCTGGTCCGACCGTAATGATATATGTGTCTATTGATGTTGGACTGGTGGTCGATTTTCATGCTGGACTTTGGGGTTATGCATTCCTATTTGTGGACGTTTCATATGCAATCAGAGAGTTATATAGGCTTGTTGCCTCATGTTTTGAATTCTGGCTCCAGGATGTTGCTTGAGGTGATGGATAAGCTTGGAGTTGTGGACTGTATTTTGTATCTTGTTATATTTTTCAGGAGCTACATGTGCCTCATGTTTTGAATTATGGCTACATGACGTTGCTTGAGGTGATGGATATCATTGGAGTTGTGAACTGTATTTTGTATATTGTTATATTTTTCAGGAGCTACATGTTCATAAGCTCACAAGTCTATTGTAAAAGAATTTGTTTCTTAGATCCTTTTGTAAGAGTGAGGGATGTCTCAATTTGGAACTGACCACTCTCACAATGAGAGGCAAAACCATGTAACCTTATTTCCTTTAATGATATGTTTTCTCTTTAAAAAAAAAATTGTACAGCAACACCAAAGCTCACAATTTTTTGTTTCTCAACTTAAATTAATTAGTTTACCAATCTTTTGTAAACATGTATCAACAACACCATCAACAACACTAGTTGAATTATTTGCAGATATTTTGTCCCTTTCATTGGTTTTGCATGTCAGCCCACCAAAGCACACAAAATTTTGTTTCTCAACTTAAATTAATCTCGAAAGTTCTACTTTGTTTATTTAAATATGTATCAGCAACAGCATACCAAAGTCAACCGCCAGCTAATTGTTCTCCATAAGAATTTATATCTATTTAAACATGTATCAGCAACAACCCGATACATAATAATACATGTATATGCTTGTGCATGCATATATGTATATGGGTGGTAATCACACCATGGTGACCACAATCAAGTTTTCTTGATTTTATAGTTTGAACCGAACACTAGAAAATGATGGAATCTATCCACACATCAATTGTTCTCTTTTTTCCAAATTGAACCAAACTAAGAAAAATGATGGAAAATACTTTCAGCCCATATTTTTTGGCGAAACAAACACAAGAAACACTTTCCATGAAAGTAAAGGAAACACAAAAAAATGAAGAAAAATAAGTTATGGAAAATAAAAGAAACGAACCAAACATGCCCTAAAAGAAAAGATGATGAGATTAAATAATTTATCTTGCGCTACATATTCTCTTTGTATTAGGGCGGCGTAGTACTCATGAAACACCTCATTTTAACATTATTAAGAGCCAAACCAGTTGATTGTGGATCATGTTATGAATCTTTCGGTTCTTGCGAATTCCTCCAGATATATTTTCAGTAATGATAAGATTTGTTATTCGACATATGACAAAAAAAAAAAAAAACTACAGTGTTTAGCACCTGAGAGTACGATAACAAAAGCAATTGGCACGCATTTTCCATTTTGCTCAGTTACTTTGGATTTCTTACTTTGGCTCTAAAATAATAACATCAATTGTACGATAAATTAACATTTGACCTAACATCTCCGGTTGCAACAAAAAGAAGTTCTTCAGTCTGACAAAAGTCAAACAATAATAATGCAACTGCCCACATTAGAGGCAGTGAATAAGAATCTCTACCCATGCAAAGCAACCAATCTGAAAAACAAATGATAATAAGAAAAGCCCTGATCATTAATGAGTAATAAGAGATCAATTTCGTCCATTATCTAGTCTCTCTTGCCCCCATCATCATCTTCAATAATAACACGAAAACTTGGAATACACTGCTCCCCTTTGATTATCTAGCTATCGAAATTCACTTTCTTTCGCTGAAAATAATTAAAATCGATAAAGAGTCGACAAAAGCAATATAGTTACACTACGCAAAACATATAAAAGCTATTTTTTGTTTGTTAATTCTTCTAAAAAAATTTGCACTTTTCTGAAATTACATTTGTTTTGCCTGAATAAAAAAGAATTATATAGAAAATATATTACCTTGCAATTCATGCAAAATGGCGACGTTGACAACATTTGATATAAGGATTGATGTTGGGGGACTTCGATTCTGTGAGACGTATGATGGAGCTCTCCTCATGGTTCAGTTGGTACTCTGTGTGAGTTCGGTCTGACGACATTTCCCAAGATGACACGACATAGTCGTACATGATTTCTTGATCATGTACCCATGGCCAAAGTTTAAGTTCTGGAGTGACATAAAAGAGAATAGTACGTGTAAAATGAAAACAGCTAAAACTCAGTCATAGTAAAATTTGTACATACATTTGGGGTAAATTTCACAAATCATAAGTCTGGTTCATCTGAAGATAACCCCTAAAAAGAATGGTAATGTCAATTTACATTCAAAACTTTTCAATTTTTCTGAATCTATTTTCTCAAGTAACCACCAACTTTTGAAAAGTTGGAATAATAGTCTACAAAAAATGGTCAAAAAGCCCTGATAAAACTTCATTTTTATAAGAATGTCGATAGCCTCCTAGTACTAGTACAAACTCAATCTCAACAGATTAGAATCTATCACATTCACATTCATTAAGAGCAACAAGTCAAGATTACTTCCTATCAGATCAATCCTAATATTAAATCTGGGATGAACCTAACACAGATCTTTACTAGGTGAGGCTCGGGTCAAATCTGATTTAATATTCAACATCAAAAAAAAGTGTACTAGATCTCATACATTAAAACATGCATGCCTACCTTGAGTAATTGACAATGTATATGTTTACTGATGTTTGTAAGTAACGTTGCGCATAAATATTACGCATGACCTGTGATATTTTTCTCAGAATAGCATATATATATATTTATATAATCTTACCGTTGCTATGAAAATGAAATGCATTGTAGAATAGTAACTTACCTGAAAATTGGAGAGTAGCATCAGATGCCCCCCAACATCTCGGCACATCACTGGCTTTGAAGCCATTCTTTCGAATGCCTTCTCCGCCACCAGCGACTGTCCCATACCATCTAGCCCTAAAGCTGGACGTACATGGAAAATTCCGTAGGTCCCTTTTTGGGACACTGAAGAGGAGCCATTTGGCTTGACTCTTCGTCTCAGTCGTTGAGAAGACTAGCTAGCGGCCTTCGCCTTTGGATCCAACATCCTCATCGGATGCAAATTGCTTTGTATTCGCAAATTGAATGGAATTGGAATCCCAATTGAATTGAGCGTTGGAATAATTTTGAGAAGAGGTTTGTTTTTCTTTTTTTTTTTAATGAGAAAACTGAGAAGAAGGTTGTTGTATGTAAGCGTCTGTGCCCTGCCGGAATTTGGCAAGTTAGGGGTTGTTCTTTGTACCAGGGTTTGTTCCCTGTGTTGCTCCAATGTACATAGATGATAGAACTCGGTATGTCAATTAGCTTTTTATTTCTAGGTGTATTTCATGCATTTCGTGATACTACTGAATCTGAAAATATTCGGTGGAGGATTGAGATTAGTGGGGAGAATGCATTGAGAACAAATTGTTTGAATTTTGCAGGCTTACCATATGCGAGTTTATTCCTGGTCCTAAAATTCCCATATCGATATTTCCAATTTTTTTTCCTCTTAAAAGGTAATGCATTTTGCAGCCAAACTTTTCGGTGAAACTTGATGATTGATTTTGTGAAAGCCCAAGCCCGATGATACTGAAAGCCCACGGCTCATCTCACCAACATTCTGATTATATACCAACGCTTAAGGGTAGATCCCACATCTTGTTGGATATCAACATAACCGAAAGCCCACCTATTTTGTCGATTTCCCCGCACAGCCCCACACTTAATTATAGCTTTTTGAGGATTTTTTTCTACCATTCGATAGCCCAACGTACCATATAGCCGAGCATACACTTTCCCACATAACCAAAAGCCCACTATACATTGACCGCTTTTGAGGCCCACTTCATCCGAAGTCTTCTTATAGTTTATTTTTTAGCCAATTCATGTGATGCCTACTTACATCGATGAGCCACAGTATCCTGAAACCCACTTTATCCGAAATATTGCACTCCTATATTTCTCATCCGAAACCCAGTTAATATGAAACATCCCGTTAAATATTTTCTCATGCAAAATCCATTTCATCTAAAACCCATTTATACGCCCATATGGGCCATATCCACTTATGCTTTCTCATTGGAGAGCCGAAAAAGCTTGAGGTGTGTTTGGTAACTCCTCAAAATAGGATCATGTTCAAACCTTTGGTAACTCCTCAAAATAGGATCATGTTCAAACCTAGCCTCACTTTGGGCAAATTCTTTAAGCTAGATATTCCAAAGGCCAAATTTAGCCACTGAAATGATTTTGTTTCGGACCAACTCTTCGATTGGTCAAAAACAAAAGTGATTTTGTTTAGAATAGGCTAGAGCTAGTCCTGACCCAAATTTTGGGTAATTGCTAAACGCACCCAGGCATTTCCAAAATTTTAGACAATTGTCTGAAAAGGAACCGAGCTTTAGCGGGGTTTTAGAATTTTACTCTATATTTTAATAGTGAGCAAGTGAAAAACATGAGTTCTGTTGGTTCAAAGTGCTAATTAATCTGACTATAAACGCAGGGAGGTATCTGACGAAAAGAGTAGTCATCTGAGCTGAACAATTTTATTATCAACAGGGATTCATTTTATATTTTATTTTACAAACTTCGGCACAATTTGGTGTGGTGTTAGAGAAATTGATGAAAAAGAGACCGTCATCGATCATATCAAACATCGATCAGAACTTAATCCATTCAGTTCCATCGATAAAACTCAAGGAAACGAAAGGCTTGGCTTCCTCATCCGTAAGTTCTCTTGCCCATGTTACTCTTCCATTGTGGTTCGATCCCGGCCCAAAACACTTGTACTGCCCGTAGAACACAGTCCTGTATTTTCAAATACCGTAAACTATTGGTTAGCTATAAAAAAAAATAATACGATTTACGAACGCATCATAACTATAATTCTTAATCCTTGTAATTGTGGTGACCCAAAAGAAAATTTAATATAATGTTAAAGCAATCCAGGTCCAAAATATTATCGGTCATACGTATATAGAGAAATATAACATTTAACTTTTCACAAGAAGTTCGGAGTTTTAGTGTAGTAGCAAAGACTTTAATACTATGCTATGGCATCATCCGCATATATCCATTCCCTTGTATCGTAAAGACTTGCCCTTGTCATGTCCTTATCTGAGATTGATCTCGTGCTGGTCATAAATCAGCCTCAACTTAGCTTGGCCTCACTTACCTTATCTCCTCAAAAGACACACACGCACAATCAGTATGTATGGTTCTAGCTCCTAATATTCATATTACTATATTAAAACTACAAAATTATATTGAAAAATGAGGGTTATAGATGTACATTATTACAGAAGTATTCCTTACTTAAGTTTTCGTATGCTAGGGGATAATGTGACGGTCCTTATTGGCATAGGTCAAGTGATTGGAAGTTTTACCTACTAAAGCGCATGACGACATAGATTGCACATAAACAAAAGAAGAGATAATATTTCTGATGAAAGAAAACAAAGAAGAAAGAATGTACTATTATGATTGGATTTGGCCGGACCAACGTCCTTAAAAAAGGTTACACTACAGTACAAGCTCATCGGAGATATAGAACTATAGAAGGCACTAAACCTTTGATAAGGGCAGGAGACCTAACTCAAAATCATGAGGCTGGTGTTTCTTCTAACTTTGTATGTTTCTTCATCTTAGAAAAAAGTAAAGCGTATTCCTTTGTTTCTAGCCCTTTATGAAATGCCATTGGTAATGATACTATGAACGGAGTAATCCGGTAAAAAGTCATAAAGAGAGACTTCTATTGAAGATTTTATAAGGAGATAGCTGGATTTGATATTTGTCTTCATACTACAAATCTTAAATATGATGATTAATAATTATCTAATTTTAAGATTTTATTGGGACACGTGTCGTGATTTTCTAACTAAGACACAACGCCGCTATCTGTCTGTAATTTTTTTCTCTAGAGTTTTCCCCCCTCCGTGAGACCATCAAATGTCCGAGCTCAGCAGACGGATTGTTGAGGAATAGGCACATGACCTTATACTTTTTGTTGGAATCGTGTCTTTGATTCTTTGTATAACTTTATGAGAATTAGATAGAGTTAGAGATCTATCATGATTAGGAGATTAGGTCTCATCATGATTAGGAGTTTGAAACCTATTCTAATTAGAAAGTTAGGCTACAGATAAGGTTTTGGTTTCCCTATATATATTAATTCTTCTATTGTTGGAGGAAAAGCCAAGAAGAGAGAGAGAGAACCAATATTCTTGTAATCTAGGGTTAGCAGAGGGCGTAGCCCGATTCAAAAATATTGTGCGAGAGGCGAGTGTTTCGTAGTTTTTATCCGTGCAAAAGATTATATCATTGGGAGAGGGTTTCGCAGTTTTTGTCCGTTCAAAAGATTGTTAGGAAAGAACTTTGGAGAGAATAAGAGAATTGATTATGTATGTGAGGTTGAGAGATTGAGATATGAGAATTGACTGGTTCCTCTTGTAGTTCTCCTTGATACATAGTGAATTTCTCGTATTGTTGCTCGTGGACGTAGATCGAAGTTGGTCGATTGAATCATGTAAATCTCGGTGTTCTTTCTTATTGATTGCGGTTATTTTCTATCTTATTGATTGTGGGTTAGCTTCCAAGTTGCGGAGATCGTAGTAGGCGGGGGGCTAAAATTCCCCAACACTTTTTGTTTTGTGGGGGGCAAGGAGAAGAGAGGTAGGGTGTGTTGGAAAATGCTAATAATGATGCACAGATACAATTAGACAGCATTCTTGGATTGATCAAATATTTTCTTCTTGAGATTAGAAAGTGATAAAACAGATAATGATTCCTTAGATTCTATTCATAGAATGGCAATTTACGATAAGTCAAATAGTCCCGTGCCATGCGGCAATGAAGCCAAATACTAAGATGATTAATACTGGGAAAAGGTACCAATTAATATCTGAGGTTCTATTTGGACTTATATGAGTTTTTGTGACGTCTAGATCCCTTGGTCTACCCAACATAGAATAGGTACCCTAATCGTAATAATTCAAAAGAGAGTTAATGAGGCCTTAGAGTAATGATTTTGAGAAAAATGTCTTAATTAAGGTTAAAACCAACCATTCCAGGATGGAACAGGGAGCGTGCAGAGCAGCACTTTCGTATATCAGCACATTAGATTCAGGACAGACTCGAATATGTAGTCTCCTAAGAATTGAAGAGTGGAGCAGGACAATGTCATGGAGAGACGATAAATTATTGTATTCATGGGAGTTGAACCTGAATTACTCTGATCTCATATCAAAGATCTTATACCAAAAAGCTTCGAGGGTTATAGTTTTGTAATCTAACAACAAGTTTAGTTAAATTAATATTAATGAACGATTTGAGCAAATTAAATTTTAGAGTAGTCAGCTTGGAGTTGATAACGAGACTTACATTTCCCTGTTTGGATCGCCCCAGTTGTACCATCCGGTGGGAATGATAATGTTATCCATGTACGTGTACGCAAATATCACCCTTGAAAACATGCCCCAAGCTCTTCCAAGGTATAATGCGCCCGATCCGGTCACCTTACAGTTCACGAAGGAGAAGCCTGTGTCCTCTAACATGCTCATTCTATTTTGCGCTGTGAGCGCACCTACATTATTCGCAATTGCATGTACATGACAACCCTGCATCCAAAAAAAAGTTAGAATTTTTCATTTTAACCAACTAAAATCAATCTTCGAAAACTAAAGTTAATGGGCCTTAAATAGAGGCTAGAAATCAATTTTAACCCAAAAGTTTAAGCTATTAGAACTTCTATTTTAAACTCATAATTCTTTCTTATCCGCTCAGATGTAAGACTATACTCACACATGAATAACCAGTAAAAAAGACGAAAACTACCCCTCAACCCTTAAAAAGAATCGCCCTTTACATTATTTCCATAAAAGTTTTGACGTATCAGGGGTATCATTTCTATTGATTCCACGAATCACACTCGCATAATTACTAAGCCCTGCATATATTTATAATAAAGGCAGCAAGTTCGAGGTCCAACCATCAAGTTAAAAAAAAAATCCTCATCTCAAAGTAAGGGCGGGTGTCTTAAGAAAACCCTAATCCTAATAGGTTCGGCTTGCCTTATAAAATTATTCAAAATGTCTGTTACATCACAAATGGTCCTTCTAAATTGATCATGTGAACGAACTGACTTCCTATCTGCTGGCCTTAAAAACTCTATGAATGACGAAGATGACAACGAGAACGATAGTGATAGAAAAGAGATGGTGCCCTAGTCCCTAGACTCTGATGAAAAATAATAAACAAGTATGACTCAAAATTCTGTTTCACTTTAAACTATGAAATTGAATCATCCACTGTTATTAGATAAACAGCAGAGGATTAATTAAGCTTCTTGTTAGCTAATACTCAAAAGCTCTGTTCATGCTATAAACACATTCTCTCAACTACTAGTGGGATTTACAAGCGCCAACAGACAAATTTGTGAATTGCGATAGCTTTTTGATCTTACGCTCGTGAGGAAAGTAACCAGATGTGGCCCCTCTCCTCTGATTCATGGTCAGTACTTTAAAAGTAGTACAACTTTTGGTATAAATTGCAAAAAGTTATCATATACATATATGTAGTTTTGTTAAAACACACCCTTTTAGTCTTATCAGATTTTATAAAGTTGTGATGAGGGTTGAGATTTATAATTTTATATTCTACAATTTCTTTGTAGGTTGAGGACCCTTTTTTATGGGCCAAAATATGAACTCATATAGTGATATTTATTTTTTTCAAAATCAACATCAAATTCATGACCTGTAAAATTTAAAACTTGGATTATTTTGATATCATGTTAAAAGACATTGATATTAAACTAAAACTCTAAATTTATGTTGAAGATTGAATGTTATAATTTTATACTCTAACAAATAGCCTTTTAATCATTTGCAAAATTCTAATTCTGTTATTCTATCAAAACATAATATGCAGAATCTAATAGAACAAGGGCATTTTCTGGGAAAAAAAACCGATTGAGGGATATATTTGCAAGTAAGTATTTTATTTGTAATATTAGTTATATCGTAAATATTGTACTACTTCGATACTATAAGACACAACAGGTAGAGTCTTTATTCAAAAATTGAAATCAGACGTCATGGGTCTCAATTTCTCTTTACTTTTTTCTTTAAGTGCCAAATAACATGAACATTTATAGCACAATTAACGCTTCCGTTTTTTTCATGTGGGCTTAAAGGTAACCATCAATAAGATAAAAGAGTTTGGAAACAGAAAGGGACCCATAATAAACCAAGAAAAGAGATATTGCCTGAAAATCAATGAATGTGCTAACTATACACATTCATGACTAAATAATAACAAAGCTACAGAGGGTAAAAGTAAAGAGGAAGAAATCGGAAAGTGACCTCATAGAAGGAGAGAGCATTTCCAAATATGAAGTCTACAGAGCCTTCAATGTAGCAATCTCTATAATAATGCCTCCCAATGTGATCATATAATGTGTCCTGTGCTCCCAAGAATTTGCAGCCTACAAATGCTGCTGTATCCGCTGAGATCCTAAATGCCACTGCTTGCTTCCCTACTGCCCCTGGTTTTGGCACTGGGGTAGTATTCTGCAATTTGAAAAATTGTCTTTAGCCCCCCCTGAACTGAAAAGCTCTGTTTTCTTAAAAGGACTAACCTTGAAAGTTATGTTCTTGGCAATGAAGTAAGGAGAATTGACAGCAAAAGTAGCTGAATCATGAGTCCCCATGGGTTTTCCATTAGGCCCTGGAGTCTCAGCTGTATCTCCCCATTCAACCACAGTTTTATCAGCCCCTGCTCCTTGTAGAGTTATAAAAGCTCTCATTGCTGAAATGCTCACTTTCTCCCTGTAAAAAAATAAAAAATAAAATACCTACAATTTCAGCAACATAATACTATATATCTCTATACTTAAACAGCTAAAATCAAAAGCTCACTCACTTGTAAACTCCGGCATTGACATTGATCACAGTCCTGACCAGATTGATGAATGGTAGTGAATCAATGGCGCCCTGTATCGTCGTAAAATCTCCGGTAGCGGGATTTTTGTCAACGATGAGGGTGAAAGAAGGGAAGACCTTGTTCATTGCTCTATGGAAAATGGAGTGCTTAAGACCCCCAACAAAGTTAACCCATCTCATGAATTGCCTTTCCACAAGTTGGGCTTGTGTTTGATTGCTTAGAAATGGATGGTGCCGGTTAGGCCGGAGGCTCTTTGTGTGGATTTTGGCTGAGCCCGAGTTTAGGAGGAGGAGGAAGAGGAGGAGAATTAAGTGTTGAGAGCCTGGCATTTTGCAGGAGAGGAGAGAATGTGAGAATGTTCTTGTGAAAGTGAGAGGTTTCGGTTTGTGTATGTTATTTAGGAGGGATGCAAAAAGTGAGGGAGGAGCTGGGGGGATTTAAGAGAGTTCACGGGAAGAGAAAGGGTGGAGGGGAGAGTCACAGGTGGAGAGCCGGTGGGTTACGTACATTACATCTGCTTCTCACTTTCTAGGTTTGCGTTTGTTTTTTGGGTAATTTTCACACCACCCCTCTGAACTTTGGGGGTGTTGCACCGTAACTCCGTGCTGTTTTTTTCGCTGAACTCCCTGAACTTTAGGGTGTGGCAAAATACCTCCTAAACTTTAACATTTTCAAGTAGACACCCTGCAAACGTTAGTAGCTGCTGTAAAAAGATAAATATACCCAGGGGCTCCATTTGAAAGTCCTATAGTCTAGGGGTTTGTGGGACGCTCCGAAGTTCAACGTGACTTGTTGGGGGAAAAGGTTCAGGGAGCTTAAGCGCAATACATAAAAAAATACATGGCATTTTTGTGAAATTAACCCTTCTTTCTTTAGGGTTTTAGCCTATAAACCCCACGTTCTAATCCTATTTATTTTTAAACCGGTCCACTTATAAAATTGTTCGCGTCGGAAATCGGTTTCATTGCTTTCGAATCCATTACAACTTCAGACGTTACAACGATTCAAAATAAAGAAAATTCAGTTTTTTTTATAAGACTTCTCTTACAATGAAAATATAACAGATGACTTCCTGAGAACATACGCAGAGAGATCGTTTATCGGTCATCTGTTTGCGTGGGATCTTTGCCGGTGCCGAGGTTTATTCGTGGACCACTAACTGATCAGATCTGAATAAAGATTTCGTTGCCTCGCAAAGGAGACAAGAAATTGAAGTGACTATCTCGACAATAGCGAGGCAATCACTCTTCTTGAGAATCATAGTTAGGTGCGATCTTAAGGAAAATGGATGAACGAGATGCAGATCTCTCGAACTCTTCCTCTATGTGTGCTGAAGAACTCGCTAAGATCTCTTCATCTTCTCTGAAATTCGTGCTCCTCACTCTTCAATTCGATAGGGCTTCGTCGAGACTCAAGAATTCCAAATCTGTGTAAATGAAGGCCTTAGGGCCATATTTATAGGCTTCAGAAGCTCGGTTTTAGGATAAGAACGGCTGATTTGCTCTCATCTTCAGTTGTAACCACTTAAGCACGTTCTAAGATAGCTTCAAATCAGTTGAGGAGGTTTTGGATCAGAATATACCGAAATCTGGACGGTTAACGGCGAAAAAACAGCTTTCTTGGGCACGAGACACGCTCTGTGTCTCGGCCTTGGCCGAGACGCATGATGTGTCTTGGTTTCGACCGAGACGTCATTTAGCGAACATTAACTGTTTTCCCCGTAATTCCCTAATCCGATCTCAGAATGATGCGATTCGAAGTGCATTGGAAAGCCGGAGAAGAGATCTACAACCTTTCATGGGTGAATCATACGTGGAGTATACGAGACACGAGTACTGATGCTTCGTCTTTCATGAGCGAAACGTAACTCCCGATCGGATCGTCTCTTCATTATTTTGTCGTCCCGTTAATTCGTACGCTTCGTCGATTTACTTCATGCGTTTGTCGACGTCAAATAATCCTCTTTGACTTAGATAATGACGTTCATCGTCTTCTTTCTATCTCGAGCTGCGTACGAGAACCTATAAGCAATTTTTGACGCCTACAAAAATTACTTTTAAACCCAAATGTATTTCAATAATTAGCATACAACAAAATCTGTTAACTTGGGGTAAAATATAGAAACTTACACCAAAGTATAGCGCCTTGGTGCGAAGTATAACAAACTTACAACAAAATAATACCGTGCATCATATTGTAGCAAAAATACAAAGTGGATTTAAAAATAATTCAATGGTCTTGGGTTTAAGAGTGATCACTTTGAAAGTTTGTTTTTTAGGAGTCATTTTGTTTTGCAATGAATAAACCACTCTAGTTTAGGTAACAGGCGATGACTGATCTGCTGCCTGTTCTTATGATATAGTGGTTTATTCATTGTTTTCTCACTTCTAAACTCTTATCTAAGTTTTTTTAATCTATAGCTGACTAGAGCTCCTCACCCTGTTTTTTTTTTCCATCTTAAAAAAAGAGTGACTTTGAAAGCGAGCAGTTTTAAAAATAAATGGAGCTAAAACTTATAGTTTATAGGGGGAAATTAAAAACCTTTTAAAATGATTATTTTGTGCATAAAATTATATACAATTATAGTATCTCCCCACATTTTGTAACACTTTCTAATTTGTATCATTCCTTGTTGTGTTATGAAGGCATCTTTGTTTCAAAATCTTGAACCAAAAGACTTTTTATTATTTATTTCGTTCCTTCAGTTAGAGATTTTTAAAAGGAAATGAAGGGTAGTTAGAGATCAGACAAATATGTGAGGTGAACAGCTGGTTGAAATTGTCTATAAGACATGGAATAATACAAGATGGCATGTAATTATCCTCTAATTTCTTGTCATTAATTTATAGTTTTCTTATAATACGTTATTCTCTCAAATCATCGTCTCATATGTCCACATTAGAAATGATGTTATGTTATTACTTATTAGACAAATTTGAATACATATCCTACACAACAGCAAAATGCGAGCATAATATTTTGATCCATCAAAGAAAGCAATGAATTTTTTGAAATGTCCTCCATTTGTCTATGTATGGACCTGTTCAAATAACGTTAGCACACAGTCTCCATTTATCTGCTACTAATTTATTTTAATGTATAAAAAATAACGAAACATCATAGTTAAATACTAAACTGCTGGTATACTGGAAAAAAATTCTCATGTACGATACCTACAGTGGTGTAGGCAGGATTATTTTTAGCCCCGGGCGAAAAATAAAGGTGGTCTCAAGCTATAAGTTCAATTTTCTTTCAATTGACTATCTCTCCCTTTCTCCTTCCCTAGACTCTCTCACTCTCTCCACTCTTAGCCCTAAGTCTCGTTTTCGACCGCTACTCTGTCCAAGACCACCATCGCCACCACATTGGGACCTGCTTACGAGTACTCCTACCTTGTAAAAGCATAATTTTTTGCCCTGAACAGTACTGTTGCCTAGGGCAAGCCTCACCTGCCTCCGCCACTGTATACATAGTCCTAAAATTACCATAATAAACAATATAGATATAGGAGATTATGCAAGTCTTTATGATCTCTATGATAGAGTTGGGACATTCCATGATGTGCTTGAAGACAAAAGTTTTATTTCCAAAAAAAGTAAAAAGAAAGGGAGTAATATGCAAAAACTTATATAAGTTGTACAAAAAGGAATTTTCGTGAACTCTGCAGGGGGCATCTTGTTTCTGTTAGGTTTTGTTTGTGCTTCTGTTTTATTCATGTTCTTATATCCTCATGTTGTCATTATTCTATATGGGAAAAAAAATCTAAAGCGTTGCATCTCCATCATGATTGAGCCTCTTTTGTAATATTTTGCGTATTTGACCAGTCGAACTTATGTTATTGTTTCTGTTCTTTTGTTGTTGTTGCCCGTGAATACAGGTGAGTCTCTCTCTCCCGTGCTCTTCTGTTCACTCGTGGAATTTGGTGTCCAAAAGTCGGTGGCTGGAATTCTCAATTTGGTAGCATTGTGGAGCTGGCGTCATAGACCTACAAGGCTTCGGTACTTTATGCTACTTTTGTCCTAAGTTCCCAGATGTAAATTTGTATCACTTTTTAATGATGGATTTTACAATTTTGTTTGTTATGGTACAAAAATAGTATAGACTTTATAAACTAATGTTGAACTTCACAAAATCATCTTTAAGTTTGATCAATTTTGAGATAATATTCAAAGTTTTTAAAATGTCACTCAACTCTTTTAAGTTTGGTTGCTTCAGAACTTCACCAGAAGTTTTAATATTTTCAAACAACTTCCCTAACGGTATTTATATGGAGTGGTAAAAAGACCAAAATATCCTTTCCAAAGTAGCACTCTAATTGTTAAATGAATTAATCAAGGGCATTTCAGCTAAAATTGGACCGAACCTAAGGATTTTTTGTAAATTTTTTTAAATTATTAAAAAAAATTAAAAAGATCTTTTTTTCCATTAGGGGCATTTTGGTCATTTGGACATACATGATTTTCATGTGTGAAGTAAGATGTTATGGTGTTAGTTCACTAGGTTATCTAACAAAAATTGGGTGTGTTTGACAATCGCCCAAAAAGTGAGCGAAGTTCAACTCTAGCCTAGTCCAGCACTAAATAGGTTTTATGGCCTCATTTTGGCCAAAGAAAATTGACCTAAGAAAATTGACCAAGTTATTCTTAGGCCAGAGCTGATCCAATTTTTACCTATCAAAAGCAAACCTAAAAACAGACCAGGTTTAATCTTGGCCTTATTTTAGGAATTTGCCAAACACACCATCAAAGAGGATACACTGGCATTTGTATAGTTTAGAGGGTCTCAAACGCGGCCAAACTTAAAATTGAGGATTTTGTGAAGCCTTCTTAATATGTTGACACTAACCTTGGTACGGGCTAGGCCTGTGCCCCTGGCCCAATCCTTGACACAAGTTCAAATCAAAATTTGTCAATCCGAATCCAATTATTGGCAGTAGAATCCCTCTTCCTCGCGAACTTTTTAAAATTTTTATTTAAAAATCTATATATGAATTGGTTCAGTTGCATTTACTACATGTCTGATTAAATGTAAATACCGTAGCTGCATATAACATCACTTATGCCTATAATTTTATACGGCCAGTTTGAGTATCGTATGGCAAATTGATTTTACATAACACAAGTGTTGGGTCCGTGCTCGCAAATCTACATCACTAGCTGGGAAGGTCAGATGTTTGATTTTTTAATATTATATTTGTATATCTTATATGTTTGATCTCTATGGATTATTTCTTTAATCAGTTGTAAGTGGTTCCAAATTGAATTACAGTGAATTTTTTTCTTGGGACTGCTCCTTCTTTTTCATTTATTATATATACTCTATTTTTATGAATATTAGTGCTATAGCCGTTTTAGTGGTGGGAAATAATCTCCAATCAGGGGCAGACAAGTGTCCCACATTATGCATAATCAATTCAGTATTTCAAGATAATTAGAAGCCCAATTCGGTCGACTTGACAAGGCGACATCTTGCGAGGACGAC